GTTTTATTTTGGTTTATTATACATCTTCCGTGTTTGAAAAGAAACTTTTTCAACACCCGAACACGGAATGTTTGCCTTCATATTACCTAAACTAGAAACAGATTGACGCCATTTGAAAAATTTTTTTTTTTGTTTTCTCCACTCCATGCACGCACACAACACAATACAACCTAAAAACCGCTTACAAAGTTTCAGGACAAAATCATCATTTTATGACCTTCAAACTGAAAAATTTACTTCGATGGAATTTAACCATTTTCCCTTCTAAGAATATATATATATTCTCTCCAATAAAAATCTTTTCCAGACAAAAAAAAAGTAGATTATTAAATTAGAGATGGATATCGAGATAAAAGGATATAGTCTTTTTAAAGATACAGACTCCCTCTTCTTTTTTAGAGCGAGGCATATATTGTATTAAAGTTTACAGACGATATAATGTCTAAAGTGGTGGATCCAATAAAAAAAGGTAATTCAGCCGTAAAACGTGCGCAACGATAGAAAAAGACTATACCTTTGGATGAAGTTGAGTTCTCGCAGGCTAATAAAGGTAAGAAGAGGTGTACCGCGGGTTAAAGACGAAGGTGAGTTAATTTCATCAAGCGAACCTGATTCATTATCCAATATCGGCTCTCGTAAATCCCAATCCGGTCAAATAAATTATCGCCTCTCGCCCTGTCTCAACCGATCCAAGTTGTTAGGTACACGTCGATAGAAACGTGTAAACCTATTGGCGTATCTATAAATTAGCGTGCACCCAAATTTTACCACCAAGTCCCAAAAGTTCATGAAAGAAAAACAAAACCAAAACAATTCACAAAATAAGCGTCTTGCTGCAAAAATTGATTATTTTTTCTACACCATTATTTTACCACTATTCTCAAAAATACAAAATATTGGAACAGTTATCACAACATTAGCTTCTTGAAGCAAAAAATAATCACTTTTCCCACAGCATTATGTTACCACCAATTCTACAAATACGAAATATCCACACAATTCATGAAATTAACGTCTGAATAAGGCAAAAAAATTAATCACTTCCTATCGAACACTACAGCATTCAAGATTAGACTTTAGGAAATTTTAAAGGCATCGTCCTTATATAACAGATCATTTAACATACTTTGCATATTGCATTTTGTGTTGGTTTTGAAAAAGAATTATGACTCTGCAAAACAATAGAATTACCATTCAACAGAACGAACAACTTCTGATACAGAATTTCCAAATTTCCAAAAATGACAAGCAACAGAATTCTTATTTAACAAAACTGACAAACAACAGAATTGATATTTTACCATTATATTAACCTTTAGAGGGCTGGGGTGGCCACTATAGTGGCCACCATTTATTTTGACGAATCTTTTTATCGAATTGACTTCTTATTTATAAATTTTTAAAAATAAAAAACTTTTAAAATTTGTGCAAATTTATCGGCCCTCTACAGGTTAAATAGAATTGTCAATTAACATACCTGACACGAAACACAATTAATATTTTATCCACTTGACATACAATAGAATTGTCAGTTATAACAAAACTGAAATAATATTGTAAATATTGTTTCAAGTCCTGTTAGTAAAATACAAAAACTGCTAAAAGTTCTGTTGCATAACAATTATATTTGTCAGTCTATTAAAATATCAATTTTTTTGCAAGCTAGGTATGTTGAATAACTATAAAACCGTTCTCGTAAATGACAATTCTCAGGCTTCGCACTCGATAATTAATTTTAAAAAACTAAGTAGCTTTATGACCGAAAAAAGCAGTAAAAAAAAATATCTATCGAAAAATTAAATTTGCCAACAAAAAACAACTCGTTTTAGATGATTCAAAAAAATCACAAAAATTAAATTCTGCATTTTTTTTCTAATTTTCATCGAAAATATTTAAATTTTTCCATTTACTGCCAATAACTTAAATTTTTAATATTTAGGTACAAAATTCAATAATTTTATAAATTTAAATTTTCAAAAATTATTAAAAAATAATTTTTAAATATAGAAATAAAATTTTTTTAAGTGTACAATTTATTTAAATTAAATTTCACAATATTTCTAAATAATTGGAAACATAATTTAATCTTTTAAAAATAATAATGTATACGGGAATTCAACAATCTTCAAAACATTTTAATTACAATTTTTCAAAAGACGAATATTTTTCATAATTTCCAAAAAATTACATTCAAAACATGAATAATTTTTGTTAAATAAATATTTAAATACTCATTTATTTATCCACAGAAATTACAATTACAATATTTTAAATGATTACTTTGTCAAATCTTTTTGAAATTTAATAATTTCTATAAAAATCACAACTGTAATTCTTCCAAAATTCAATAATTTTTTTTTGTTAATGTTTTTAATTAAAATTATTCAGAACTTTTATAATTTAAGATAAAAATAAATTTACATAAAAAAATAAAATTTTTAAAGATTACAATTTAAAAATCTTTGGAACTTTAATTATTTCTAGAAACTCATAATATAAAACTTCTAATATTTAATTATGAACTAAATTTTTAATTGAAATTCAACTTTTAATCAATTTTTCTTAGAAAATTCTACAAAAATTCAATTATTTAAATATAAAAATAAATAATTTATTGAATAATATTGAATATTTCTTAAAATTGAATTCTTATCAAGAATTTTATCAAAATTTCTTAAAATAATTGAATTTCGAGGAATTCATTTAAAATTGTATAAAAAATAATAGTTATTAAAATTATATTTAAAATAATTGAATTCCAGCGAAGAAGTTTTTTAAAATTATATTCAAAATAATTGAATTTATTTAAAATATTTTATTATTTAAGAAAATAAATTGAATTCCAGCGAAGAATTTTATAATTTACTCGAATAATTGAATTCTTACAAGTTTTTTTCGACGAATTTAATTAGAATTTTATTGAAACTAATTCAATTCATATTATATAGAATTTCAATAAAATTTTTAAAAATAATTGAATTTCTGCGAAGAGTTGCATTAAAATTTTTAAATAATAATTGAATTCCCAAAAAGAATTTCATAAAAATTCTTTTAAATAATGGATTTTTTTCGAAAAAATTAATTGGAAATTGTATTTTAAATAATTGAATTCCTGTAAAAATTTTATTATTTTTGAAAATAATTGACTTCCAGCGAAGAATTTTATTATTTACTCGAATAATTGAATTCTTACAAGTTTTTTTCAACGAACTTAATTAAAATTTTTGAAAATAAAATTGAATTGTTTCAAAGAAATTTAAAAAATTTTTAAGAATAATTTTTTATTTCAATTATTAACGGATTTAAAGCATTGTAAATTTAAAAAAAAAGAAAAAAAAGTAGCTTTTAGTGTCATAAATCTAAAAAAAAGTATCCGAATAGTAGCAAATCGTAAAAAAAGTAGTAATTAGTTGATTTTAGTTGACAGTAGTTCGCTGTCAAATCATTTCTGACAATTCTGTTCGATTATCAATCCGACCCAATAAATGACTGAAGAAGAATTCTATCAAAAAGACTTTCTGATAATTTCAAATTCTATTAAATAAAAATGATGTTAAATAAAAATTTACTGAACTAGACAATCTGCAATAGAAATGTTCGATAAGACAAAAATTCTGTTAATCAAATGTTCAGAAATCAGTAATTAATCAAATGTTCTTTTGAAAAAGAAGATCGATTTCATGAATTCGGAAACCCTGAAGCTGAAACTAATAATTTTTGTTCTTTGGGTTTCTAAAAGTAAGAACAAAAATTATTGAAAGCAGATCAGACGCACATACAGTATACAAAATAACCAAAAATGCACAAAGAATAATTTCCCCTTATCCAAATAAGAATCAAATCGACAAAGATACAATGAAATCAATGAAACAATGAAATCGCTGAAAAATAATTAACGAAAAATTGACGAAAAATAATTAAAAGAATAAGCGAGACAATGAAAAAGTTCATTATGCACAGCAACTCTTTCATAGTTTTTGAGGGGAAAAATTATGACCACTGCTTTACATAGTAAAGGAAAGAGAGGACTTTTAATAATTTCCGGTTATAAACTCTTGACACGAGAAAGTTTGAGTCTTTGAGAGAGAATGACATCTTGCTACCACTCTCCACCATCATTTTGGACTTTTCGCTGTTAATTTTTCTGTCATGGCTGATAATCGCGAGGAGGACTCCCTTAGATATCCGATGGACATTAGTTACGCCCGTTATAAATAACGTGAAAGACGCGATGGTTCTCCGTAACATTGTCCAAGAAGAACACGAAGCGTAACCGTAGAGTTCAGTGAAGCATCGGGCATCGCGGAAATCTTAATAGATGGTTTATTATTTTATGATGCTACCTTATGCTTTGTGCATATAACTCGTAGGGTACCTCGACGTTATTGTATAAAGGACCCGTAAATCATTGAAAAGTTGGTCGCACGGTAGCTCTACTGCGCGAAACATCAGCTTCCCTTTTTTCCAAGAGGTTTTCTTCTCTCAAACTCTCGCCTCATTGGAATACTTATATACTTTTCTCTCTCTCTCTCTCATTCGACCCAACAAATCGTCACCATAAGTTCTCCATACATTTCACCATTTGCCATACTTTTCACTTTTCAAAATTACACATATACATCTCAATGTGGACTTATTGAAGGTGTGTAATTGAAACACGTGTTTGGTCCCAAAAAAATCAGTGTTCACCAGGGGAACAAAAATTTTCCATTCTAAGTGTACCATTTAATGCGTAACATGAGAAAATACAACCGAATTCAATTGAAAAGAATGCTTTTTTCAAAAAACTTTAGTTTAAAATAAACTTCTAGAACCCTTGGCCTTTCAATGCGAGAGAAAGTAACCAAATTTTTTTTTGTTCATCATCTTCTTTAATAAAGAAGCTCATGAAAGTTAATTTTTAATTAATTCTGAATAAATTATTATTCATAATTAAATATTTTCAAAAATATTAAACACTACATGCTATAAAAAAATATATATTTAATAAAATTACTCACAAACTTAACCACAAAATTCCTGGACAAAATTTTCAATTCATTCCTTTATTTCGCAAAGACAGTCTGTCTTCGATGATTATTTATACAATCACTGCGAAGATTTTATGGAAATGATTGTTTTCTTCATCTTCATGTTCGCACTTCACATATCTGGAAAAAGAAAACATTAAAAATATATAAAAAAAGGAACTATTAATTGAATTTTTAATTAAAAAATACATAATGGTGATTTATTAAAACTTTTGCACATCACTGCCCTTCTTTATTATATTCAATATTAAAATTTCAGCTCAATATATTAAATATATTTAAAGAGAAAAATGGTCGAAAAAATTACCATTAAATTTTTAACAGTCACATGTTAACATGAGATAAAAATTTAACTATAACTTTATTAAAACAGTTACGAAAAATTAATCGTTAAAAAGAATAATTCAAAAGGAAAAGTAAGCATCAGATTGTGAAATTTTAGATAAAAATTACAATTACGATTCCAATTAAACAAAAAAGTACATTCCTTGTGAAATAAAGTTTTGGATTCAATTTTGGAATTTAGTACTAAAAAAAGTACTGGATTAGGTATTGAATTAAATACTGAATTAACTACTCAATTAAGTACTGAAGTAACTACTTAATTAAGTACTGAATTAACTAATAAATTAGGTACTTAATTCAATACCCAATCCAGTACTTCTTTCAGTACTAGTTCCAAAATTTAATCCAAATAATTGGTACTTAAATAGAAAAAGTAAAAAAAAATTAAGTATTGCCTGAAATGAAGATATAAAAAAAAATTAAAGAGAATGTTACAACATATTTATTAAGAAAAGACAAGAATTTTAATTGTTTCACTTCATCCGTAGAAATAACAAATAGCACTGAATGACGAAAAACCTTGAAAACTTCCAAATAGAGAAAGAAAGAAAAAAAAACCGAAAACTACTAACCTAAAGAAAATTCTAGACGCTCGGAATTTTTAAAGAGGTAACACGAGGATAATTTACAATCTTATTTCAAGGTATAAAAAACTAATTCTCTGCCATTTGTCCAGATAGTCTCGTTAAAATTTCAATTATCTTTGTAAATAATAAAATTCTTCTCTGAAATTAATTTATTTTCAACAATTTTCCTTAATTCACTGATTTCAAAAAAAAAAATTAATATAATTCTACGCAAAGATTTCATTATTTTCATAAATAATAAAAATTTCACAAGAATTCAATTATTTACAAATTGTTTATAAATTTCTTCGCAAATAATTCAATTATTTTCAATACAATTTTAATTAAATTCGTCACAAAAATTGTCATGCATTCAATTATTTTCATAAACAATAAAATTTTTTACAGGAATTCAATTAATTTCGTAAGTAATTTTAATAAATTTTTTGTGCATGAATTCAATTATATTTAATAATCTTAATAAAATTCTTTCCAAAAAATCAATTCTTTTCATAAATAAATAATAAAACTTTACAAATAATTTTAGTGAATTAATTTTTTTTTTGTGCAAGAATTCAATTATTTTTAATAATCTTAATAAAATTCTTTACAAAAAATCAATTCTTTTCATAAATAAATAATAAAATTTTTCAAATAATTATAGTGAATTAATTTTTTGAATGCAATTTTAAATAGATTCAATTATGTTTAAAATTTTTTTTTTAAATTCTCATCACAATTTCAATTATGTTTAAAAATAATAAAATTCTTCTCCAAAATTCAATTATTTTCAAAAATTTTAACAAAGTTTCAATTATTTTCAATACTTTTCCTCAATTCAATTATATTTTCAATTCTCCTATTTTGATAACATTTTTTAAAAGAATTTAATTATTTAAAACAATTTTTTAATAAAATTCTACGCAAACATTTCATTATTTTCATAAATAATACACAGGAATTCAATTGAATTGCGAATTTCGAAAAGGGCTCAACTCGGTTTTTTTAAATTTTACAGGAGAGACAAAAAACGTTTTATTTCAAACAGCTTTAATTAAAAGAGTCCAGTTTTTTTCATAGTAATTAGATGCTATTTTGTATGAGAAAATGATAAAATAATAGTCTTAAATTAAAGTGGGTTGAAGAAAATTGATAATATAGTTGTCAGAGTTGAGCCCTTTTCGAAATTCATGAAAATAATTCAATCGTTTTTAATCATAAAAATATATTAATTAAATATTTTACTATCGAAAATCAAATCAATTACTTTTTTATTTAATTTCAAAATGTAATAACTTTTTTTTGAGCTCAAAAACAATTCAGCAATAGGTTAGAAAACAAACAATCTTAGGTTAAAAGTCAAAGGAAAACACAGTTTAATACATTTTTCTCCGTTAAAGTACCTCAGATGAAATTTTCCTTTCAAGAAAACGTCAATGAATATATAATAATGCAAAAAATAGAAAAAAGTGAAATTTGAAAAAAATCCGAGTTGAGCCCTTTTCGAAATTCGCAATTCAATTATTTACAAATTTTTTATAAATTTCTTCGCATTAATTCAATTATTTTCATAAATAATAAAATTCTTAGTAGAAATTTGTCAAAAAAATTCAAATATTTAAAAATTTGTTTATAAAATTCTTTACGAGAATTCAATTTTGAGAAATATTCATTTATTAATTAATTTTTTCATTTTTTTATTTCAATAATTGAAATCTCGTAAAATTATCTAATAAAAATTGATTTAAAAATGAATTTTAGTCGAAAATCTTAGAAAATAATAATTGAATTAGAAATGATGAAAATAGTTTTGAAGAACTTACAGAAACAATATTCTTATAATATAAATTAATAATAAAATAATATAATATTCTTACAAGTTATTGAATTTCAAAAGATTTGAATTTTGCAATAATTCAATTATTTTCATGAATAATAAAATTCGTCATAGAATTTCAATTATTTTTAATACAATTCTTTATGATAATTTAGTTTCGAAAATGATTCATTTATTCAATAAATTATTTATTTTTGTATTTAAATAATTGAATTCTTGTAGAATTTTCCAATAAAAATTGATTTGAAAATGAATATTAGTTAAAATTTTAGATAATAATTGAATATTAAAATCATTATAGCATGAATTTTTAAAAATACATAATTGAATTCTTTCGAAGAATTTTAACAAAATTTTTGAAAATAGTGACATTTTTCGAAGAATTTACTTAAAATTGTATCAAAAATAATTAAAATCCTGTGAAGAATTTTATTAATTTATGAAAGTAATTGAATTCTTGCAATGAATTTTTTCAAATTTTTTTTTAAAAATTGAAATAATGTAAAGAATCTTATTATTTATGAAAATAATTAAATTCCTGCATCGAATTTTATTACCTTTTTTTAAATAATTGAATTCTTTTGAGAACTTTTATTAAAAAAAGTAGATTGTGAAAATATTTGAATTTCAACAAAGAATTTCATTATATTCATGAAATGTAATTAAATTTTTTTTTTAAAAATTAAGAGAATAATTCTATTTTTCTAGGAATTTACTTTAAATTGTATTATAAATAATCGAAATCCTCAAAAAATTTTATAATTTATGAAAATAATGGAATTCTTACAAAGAATTTTATCAATTTTTTAAAAATAATTGAATTCATGTGAAAAATTTATATACTTGTAAAAATAATTGAATTTATGCAACGAATTTTCTTACATTGTATTTAAATAATTATATTCTTTTGAAAACTTGTATTAAAAATGTAAATTTTGAAAATTTTTTAATTTCACCGAAGAATTTCATTATTTGTGAAATGTAATTTAATTCTTGCTTAGAATTTTATTATAATTTTTGCAAATAATTTAATTTTTTTTTTTTGAAAAATTTTATGGAAATTAAAATTTTTATAAAACATGAAAATATCAATGACTCCGAGTCTTCGACTCGGAGTAATTGATATCTTCATGTTTTATAATAATATTCTTATAAGTTGTTTAATTTCAAAAAGATTTGAATTTGAATGTTTTTAAGAATTTTAATTCCTATGGAAAAATAATAATTAAATACTTATTTAAAAATTTAGTTATTGATGTTTGCGAATAATTTTACAATTTAAGAAATTCGTAAGTAAATGTAATAGAATGTTTTTTTTGAGTATCTAATAATTTTTAGAGTGAATCAGAATATTCTTTATGGTCAGGGAAAAAGTGAAAATCAGTCAGGAAAAAGTCTGGAAATCAGGGAAAAATAAAATTAAATATTTGTGGCAACCCTGTTAAATTTTTCTGTCAACCCTTCGATAAAAACAGTAGACTGCAAATTAGAAAAAATCTTTGACCCCGCGACTTCTGGTTATCCTAAAAGCCAATAAAATTCAGAAGCCTAAAAGTTCAGTGAATGACAAAGAAAACGCGGGAAAGGGTCCTAAAGTCTCGTGACGATTATTTATGTGCCAATAAAACTTTCCAGCATCAAAAACTAGACAAGTCTTATGAGTATTGTCAATTTTGGTCGGTCAAGGTCGCGTTAGCAAGTAGTAGTAGTTGTAGTAGTAGAAGAAGAATAAGAAAAATCAAAAAGTGAATGTTTTCAAAATGAACCTACATTATAGCTTCGCGGGGAGTTAGAATGTTCCGAAACAAAATCGGAAGCTTCCTGGGTGAAAAATAAGCAGGAAAGACACCTTAAAGAAGAAAATGTGCAATGAGAATGAGCTGGCGCGTGCCGAAACAACAGGGGGTGTACTAAATATTTTGGAAACATTGAACGAGTCGAAAAATTTCATAGTCGCTGATGAAAAGAATAAGATTTACACCGAAAGCCTAACAGATTCACTTTTTCTTCTCTTTCTCTCTAGGTTAGCAGGGCATCACAGCTCCACTCAAGGACACGTGAAAATGTTTTTCTCAATTTTCTCCTAATGTTGTTCAATTGGTCTCGCACCTTGCACTCACTCTCCAGGTGATAATAGCTTCGTTTCTCATTTCGTTCAACATTCCTTAATTTCGTTCAACATTTCCTAATTTCAAATAAATTACCTTTTTCATTTCTAAACTTTACCGTTCGAATTCATGTTCGAACTGTTAAAAATCATATACTCCAACTTTACACAAAAAAAAGATGAAACGATACTGTTTTAATCTCGCAAAGTGTCATTTCATTCTCTCTAAATTTATATTTATTGATGTCTAAGTTTGTAACTAATT